TAATTAGGTCCTTAAGATTGTCTTCCGCTCCTGGTTGTGACCAAATTGACCCGAAATTCTTAAAGAGTACGTGTGCTTCTTCATCGGTCATACTAACAATGATCTTTCAGCAGTCACTCAACCAAGGTTGCTTGCCCGCTGAATGGAAGATCGGGAAGGTGACTCCATTTCACAAAGCTGGTAACCGCCATTCCCCACTTAATTACTGACCTATATCACTTACCAGTATACCGTGCAAAATATTGGAACACATCTTATTTTCGAACCTTGTAAAACTCCTCGAATCTAATTCATTCTTTACCCTAGCACACATGGTTTCCGAAAAACATACTCCTGCGAGACCCAACTGGCATCTTTCACACATAAACTGAACGTTATACTGGATCACTCTTCTCAGGCCGACTGCATATTTTTGGATTTTTCTAAAGCGTTCGACAAGGTTTCCCACAGTTTATTAATGCACAAATTACATCAACTAAACCTTGACAGGAAATTACTAACTTGGATTGAATTCTTTCTTAACAATCGTTCTCAGTATGTTGCTGCTAACGCGGTGAATAGCCGCCACACCGCTGTTCAATCTGGAGTACCGCAAGGGTCAGTGCTTGGTCCTCTTCTTTTTCTTATTTATGTTAACGACTTACCTACGTGTCTTTACTCTCATGTGCACCTATTTGCTGATGACTGTGTAATATTCCGTGAATTAAGCTCCGATGCCGACGTAACTGCTCTTCAAACTGACCTTACTGCTGTCTCAATTTGGTGTCAAAAATGGTTAATGCAACTCAACGTCAACAAGTGCAAGGTTATGAGAGTGTCTAGAACAACTAATTCACCTCCTACCTACTCTCTCAATGATCTTGCATTGGATACCGTTTCTAGCTATAAATATCTAGGCTTACACATAACCAGCCCTTTAAATTGGGCAATCCACACTGAACACATGAGAGATGACAGAGAGATAAATAAAATAAATAAATAAATAAAACACATAATTGGAAAAGCAAACAGAATGCTTGGGTACCTACGTCACAACTTTGCTAAAGCTCCTTTTTCCTTAAAACTCACCCTCTACAAAACATTGGTTCACCCTAAATTAGAATATGCTGCCTCAATTTGGGATCCTGTACCTGCCAATCTATTACACTCAGTCGAAACGGTTCAAAATAATTCTACCCGCTTTATTTTTTCCAACTATAACCGCACCGCAAGCATATCGGCAATGAAATCTAGCTTGAACCTACCATCTTTAGCATCTCGCCGTCAGTTTCTTCGTTTGTGTCTTTTTCACAAAATATATCACCATCCCCAATTACATAATGAACTTATTTCACTACCAGATTATGTATCACCTCGTCTAGATCATCGTCACAAGGTCGGAGTTCCATTATGCAGAACAAATGGCTGCCACACATCATTCCTACCACGCACGAGCATCGAATGGAATCACCTTCCCCCATCAATAGCAACTATCCAAGATCATGAATTGTTTAAAAACGCCATTAGCTAAGACTGTGTGAGTAGGAGCCGCACCACTGTAATAACTGCATATCCATTGCTGCATTTCAGTATTCCTTTTTTTCTTTTTTTTTTCTTTTTGTGCTAATACCACTCCCTTCTGTAATACCTCCCGGTCCTGAGGGTACCAATAAATGAAATGAATTATTTTTGTAATAGTTTTTGCAGTGTTATTCGTATAAGTTTACTTGATATTATTCATGCATGATTGTCTGCCATTCCTGCTGCTTTGCCAACGTGTGAACGGAATTGGGACCTCGCCAAGCTCTTAAACTTTTAGTCCTGTACTCCTCCTAATCAAAAGGAAATAAAATGATTGATTGATACACATCACATAAAATACAGCTTTACTGTTACTAGTTGAAATGTTGAAGATCGATAGTTCATTGTCACAAGTGGTACGTTGGCAAAACAGGACAAGCTGTTAATGTTAGATTGAATAGGCATCGCATGGACACAGGGAAAAAATAACCAAAAGCACTGGCACAACATTTTATTGTAGCAGTTCACGACTTCAACTGTATACCTCAAACTTTACATCCTACAAACTACCAGTCCCCAAGATATAGAAACTGTGCAGTCACACCATATTAAAAAGTTTAATACACTCTGACAACCATAATTCAAAGACACGTGTACAACCCCTCCCCCCCCCCCCCTTTTTCATGGAATAGCCTCTTTCCTATTGTGTCGTGCAACCTCGGGTGTCATTTCAATTCACCAGTGTATTCACGATGCCTGTCTATGCCACTGGATGGAGCGAGGTGTCCAATGATGTCCGTTTTCTGTAGCCAAACTGTGTGGCCACACAAGTCATGTGACTCATGAAATGCTTGCCAATAACCCCTTTTTCCCCTCCTTTAAAAATGTGGTAAAATAAATGTTGGACAACATTCTCTAGTATCGCCAGAGTTTCGTCTGCGTTTTGCCACTCTACACACCGTCGTGTTGCCAGGCCTCTCCATCGGCCTGCCACAGGTCACACCATACTACCTGGCAATAAAAACAGTTATGACCAACTCAATTCATCATTGTAGTCTGTCATCGTCTCCTTGTACCCCTTCCCCACTTTTTTGCAGTTGCCCTCTCCTCCTGCTTAGCTTGGATTGCAGGAGAGGGAATGAAGCGTACACACATAAGTGCTAAGGGAATCTGTTACAGCACCCACACTTTGTCAACCATTTTGTTATTACAGAGCGTGGGCAACACGGATATTTGGGCAAATTGGTTTCAATTCATTAACAAGAGGACAAAGAAACATCAAGACAAACAGTGATCCTATTTGGTCGGTTGTGAAAGGCTAACCACTTTTATATGGAAGACACTTCACTGCAGTCACTGGCCACGTGCCATGCTGTCTGACACTTTTGAAAAACGTATTCGGACAGTTCGGTCAATGAGCTGCGCATGCAAACATTTCCGTACTCACTTATATATTCTATCTGTAGATTGCTTACTCGAACACCGTCAATAACCTTGATGATGCTGATGAAGAACACGACGCATTCTATTATGTCTGTATTTGACTTGATTTATGAAGTGAAAGAATAACATGGTTTCTTAATGCCAAAAATTATTAATCACACAAACCATCATTGAATGAAGACTGTGTTGACACTGTGCTCCATCAGTGCACTCCATACCACTGCTTTTTCAGACTTGAAGAGCCTGACTGTGTTACTGCTATGCCTGGACACTTGCTTAGAAGCAACCTCACCGAGCTTCCCTATATGTCCACAGCTGAACATACTAGGTGCCGATGAGCAGTGCATGTGCTAGACTGTCTGCAATAGCTCCAGCTTGAGTTGCCTAGATAGGAACCATGTTCCTTGAAGGCATCTGTGTGGTTAATCTAAGGCACGTTCATCTTAGCACTGGGGCTCTGTCCCGATATACACCGGGATCTATGGTGACAGCGTCGCTGCACAGCTGATGTGCCGTGAGTTAGTGAGTGTGCTGTCGGTGCGTGAACAGACACTAGACTGGAGCGTGTTTTATATGTTTCTGCATGTGCAACGTGCCTGTCAGTTCCATCCTGCGTCCACATTGAAGCCTCTATCTTTTGGAGAAATTTTTCTTGTGTGTAAAAGGCACAAGCCCACATCATTACCACAATCACAGACTGAATTCTCTTCACAATATTGTATATATGATGTAATTTAACAATAAAAATCTGATCAAAATAAGCACTTTATGTTTTTATGTTGAATGGCTTGGCCATTTTGTCATTCCCATAACACACAGGACCAGTTTGAGCATGACAATCTCGTGCAACTTTCAGAATACATGTACTGCAGTCAGAGACTGCATGAAAGATCACTGAGCGCCATCTTCTTCCATATCTTGTGCATCTCTGATGCCTAATAGCAATAATTTCCAAAAAGGTGACAAGTGTTTTAAAGTGGGCTTGCTATTTCCATCAGATTATAATTGACTGAGGGTTGCAGCTCATTACATGTTTGCCTTTGGCATGGAGAATAAATACTTGTGATACTTTTGCTGTTCCTTTGTCTAAACCAGTTGATCTAATTTGTGTAATAGCTCACTCGCATTACAAAATAAAGTACCGAGACATCTGAAGCCTTTTCAGTCTTTGTTATAATTTCTCACGTTTCATACAACACTTTGTAATGTGGCTTTCCCCATCTCGCACATCGTGTAGAACTTCGCATTTTCACCGAGAAAAAAGTTACTAGCACGCTTGGTAATTAATTCATAACGCCACCGAATTCGGTACATTTTGAAACACCACTTGCCCCCAGCCCTTTTTAACTAGCTCAAATGATACGAGCGACAGTATTCACAGCAGCGCAAGCACCATTACTGCGGACTCTTTTTTTTTTTTTGCTATGTGTGAACAGCATGCCTTTGCATACGTTTTTTGTGTGTGTGTGTGTGATCATGCTGCTCGACCAATAGGCGCCAAAAACTGCGGGAACTAATACAGCGCACCCATCAGAAAGCTTCCCTGATGCTGTTGCGAGTGAAATATGGTCAACTGGTACAAGATGCAACTTACGAAAGCACCTGCACGAGTTCCTTGAGAAAACAGCTACTACTGAACTGCAAACACATCAAGGTAACATGTTACGCAGTACCAAAATCGGGTTTTTCATCTAGTTCTGCAACAGACAGTAGTAGCCGCACTTATTTCAAACACATTATTGATGAGAATTAATCGTGCTTTCCTGAAGGAATCAGTTAGCAGCGCTATTTTTAGGTAACGCAACAGGGTCAGCCAACACGTTTTTAATGGTCAATTCAATTTTTGTGGAAAAGCGTTCCGATTTTTTTGGCACCCCTAACAGCTTTCGTGTGGCACAAGACTGACGTATATCGTGTAACTTGTTTTATCAGAAGCGGAGTTAATTCTGCACATTAAATACGTCTGCAGCGTGCCCGAGGATTCTGCAGTCTGCCGCCTTTGTCATTATTCGAGAAACAGGGCAGTAGTTGGTTACTGGTAGCAAAACAAGCACAACCTGTACTCCTGGTTTCGTGACTGGTTGGGGCTCTCTCCATGCTCCAAAATCAGCTTGTACAAATACTTGTTTATTTTCACACTCATGCTAAACATTACCTGGTTATCAGAAGCGTATTTCTGCACCATAAATCACGAAATGACTGCAAATTTGTATGTGCAAACGCCACATGAGTCATCCGCGAGTGTACGCAGATGCCGTATTTACATACTGCCATCATTTTCAGCACTTTGCTGTTGATGTCGATGATGATGCAAATGCTTTTATTTTCAGACTTTCAAACTTTTACCTGCTAACGTTCACAATAATCTTTAAAATTATAACTCTTATTTTATTACTTACTACTATTCATAATTTTGTGTGGCATTTCAAAAATGTATACGCAACATAAAAAAAATATTTTTACATTTACACAAGCTTTGGAGACAAAATCCGAGTCAAGATAAACCAACACACAAGCAACATGGGCGCCCTGAAACGGTGCGTTCGCAGTGCGTGGTTGCTTGTTTTACAGACCTCCGTGTTTCGTAATGTCTCTGCCATTGACAACTTGTGTTTTCTTGCTCTGCCACGACTAACGACGAAAAGGCTCTAGCATTGATAAAGACGTCCTGCGAAATAGCGGCTCAATCAGGTTACTGTAGTCAGGTCGTCTGCAGCTCAGTGGAGTATGTCTTCAGCCACTTTCACTGTCACTGCCCTGAGTATATTTTATGCATGCATTTTGGTTCTGCCTTAACATTTTTCTTCTAGCTGCTTTGATGCTGCCATGTTTTTTTTTTCTTTTTTGATGCTGCTTCGCCATTTTTGCATTGTGGTTATGTAACTCTCTTTTTCTTATTGACCAACATTGTTAGTTCAACAAATTTTATTTTATGCATTCATTTTGTCAACTTCATGTGTTGCCCCTATTAAGCTCTTTATAGTCGGGAAGAATTTAGTTCGCTTCTTACCTCTGTGCACCATTGCTGCTACAGAAACCATTTCATTTCGTTCGTTCTCTCTATGTCGTTATAATTTCCGTTTTCTAGTACATCGTCCTATTTTTTAAGGGCTATCCTGGATTCACGCTAGTCGATCTCGGCAAATATTTCTTGCCCTAATTTTACCTAAGTGGGCCAGTTTCTTAATGGTTATAACTAATAACTTTTATCTTAGTCGGCATGGCTTCAGAAAAGGTTACTCATGTTACACTGAGTTATTTAGGTTCATGACTAATATTCACTGTAATCTAGACACAAACGATAGAACCAATTTCCCCTTCTTTGATTTCGCTGTGCGTTCAATACTCAAACTAATTACCATTTGATTTTTACATTGTCTGTCCTTTGTATTCCTTCATTACCACCATCTTGGCTACAAAAACTTTCATTCTTGGTGGTCAGCTACATCTCGTCTAATGTTTTCGACATCACCTGCAGTGTTGCCCAAGGCAGTGTGCTAAGTCGGTTACTCTTTCTAATATACATTAAAGGGGCCCTGCAACACTTTTGAAATGGATGTCACTGTTGGCTCATGATGCCTCACAAATCACATACCGAAATATTTTTTTGAATATGCCGATTACAAGCGGAGTTCGAGGAATTTGCTGAATACTTCAAGCGCTTTCTCTTTTCGTAAAAGCGAGTGCACTGAAGGCAACTTGGGTAGGGACACAAGGGGGCAAAAAGATGCACCCTTTTGTCAGCGCACGTCATGACCTTGAGCACTTTCCTTTTTTTTCTTAGAATGCATGGCTACTTTCAGGGTGAGCACAAGCGCTGGCACATGGCAGCAGTTGCAGTGGCCACAGTATTTGCATAGCCTATGATGCTCAAATCAGTCAATGGCTGTGGACTCGGGTATGACACAGTAATCCAGGTATAAGGCATCACCTGTAGAGAGACGGGGGAGCAATTGCTGGCCGACTTTGAAAATTAATTGTGAATTTTAGACTGCATGCTGCACTCTATTGTTTGGCTCATGTGCTTTCGGGAGCTGCGACTACCAATCAGCAGCGATTTCTGACAATGCTAAAAAAGAAAGTGTTGCAGGGCCCCTTTAAGGACTTACCTGCTGACCTTTCATCCTTGATTTAGTTACATGACAACACGTCTATCACCTATTGCAGTATTAATTTATAGGCTAGTTTTTCTTTCTCTTTTTTTGATGATCATTTCATTTCTCAAATGACCTTAACTTGATGTTCAGGTAGAGTGCAACTCGGCAGAACTCACTCATTGTACGATTAACAATACCATTATTTCAGCTGCCCCTTTATACAAATAAATATCTTTGTGCTTACCTTTCATCAGATTTATCCTATACTACGGCGTGTAGCAGCTATCTCAGCAAAAGCTCAATCTGCAGGTTACCTCCACGGAAACTTGTGCAATGCATCTTCTAATGTATATGCATTATCATATCTTTACCCACATTTAGAGTAAGCTTCATCTAGATGGTCACCATAACGAGATTATCTAGTCCATATGTTGGAAGCCATTACAAATAGGGCAGGCAGATTCACCTACAATAAAACATGACACCATAGAGTTTCCTAAATATACACTAGAGAGAACTCTGGCGATAGTGTCTATGGCAACTACCATGCATGGCAAATCAGCGAGCAAGGAATGGTGCGCAGTACACGGATTCGTCCAATCTTCATACATCTGGATTTGTGTGTATTCGTGTGGCTTGGAGCTGTTTTCTCACAAAACGAAAATCAGCAAATATTCAGTGATGGCACTTCACCACGTTATTCTTCTAGGCTTACCATTTCAAATCAGGTCATGAAGTTCAAAAAAGTTTCTTTTCTTTGAAACAAAACCGAAAACAGCAATAAATGAAGCCACAAGTGAAGTTCGCCACCCGCAAGTACGAAGAGTAGGCAAATCTGTGTACTACCCATCATTCCCAGGGTCGCTGAACGATCACTGTGCCAAAGTCCCCTCTAGTTAATTTTAGTAAACTATGCATGACATGGCCCAGCCACATCACTGCTCTTATGTGTCTCTTTCACTGGTAGAGTATTGTGATGAATTTTAGTACTGCTTTATCCTCCTGTGTACACGTCTTGGCACATTCACAGCACAATTAGTTTCATGTGCACTCATGGTTACACGCTGTTTTTTCCTTGTATTTTTTATCTGTCTTTCAGTTACTGATGTCCTCCTATCGGCGTGTAAGGTATTTTGAATGAATAAATCAACTGGCTCTTGGTCTTCTCACATTGAGGGCTACCCTCACCAGCCTATGATAATTACATGCTACCTTGCCCCTAACTTCTCTCATGTGCATTGCCTGGGTCCCAGGATTATATAAAATCTAACACTCTGTTTCTCTGTGAGGACTTTCCATATCCTCTTCCTGTTTATTTAATTTCAGAAAAAGGTGTTCATTATGTGGAGTTCATTTCATTCTTCTAACATATGTATTATTTAAGGGTGTGTGAATATTCATGTTTAGAATTATAATTGAGTGCTTTGGTTCAACTTTCAAATACAGGAAAATATCTAAAGTGTCTAAACACAGCCTAATTGCGCAACTCTGTTAGGGTGGTGTCCAAAAAACTAATGCGAAAGTCATTACAGTAGGCTTTAAAACTCTCACTGATACCCTGGTTTTAAAGCCAGCACATATTTCCCTTGAGATTATGCCATTCCTGCATGTCGTGGCTCCAGCAAAAAAAGGCAGGGAATGTAATGGAAGACTGTTGTATTGCAAGCAAAAAAAAGTCAGATCTAGTCAAGAAACTAAAAATTACTGCACTGAGCTTGTGAACAAAAGAAAGGTTTGAAATACTGGAAAGAGTTTTGAACTGCACTTTATAAATGTATTACAAAAATTGCTTTCTGATACGTTCTCATCTACTGAGGTGGCCAGCGACCGCAGGTTTTTTGGCTGCTGGAAACATCATGAGATCACGACGAGAGCCTGAAGACTTGTAATGAGGCATGACTTTTGTTTCTTCATGACAGTGTGTTCGACAGCAGTTTCTCACCATGCTGTGTGCTCGAGGACATGAGCAAATTTGATTTTCTTAGTTATTTCTTTTAATTGTCAATAAAACCTTTAGTATTCTATTTGATATTTTTCGCCGCTATATGGCACTACTTGATCCAAGATAAAGTTCTAGTTTCAACCCTAAAGTTAATATTGTAGCTCATCATCTCACCTTTCTGTTTACTATCTTCACACTGAAGTGTTTCATGACTATGGTGCACTGAGTATAGTTCTCTTGCATTGCATATTCAACATACTTGCCTATTACTGCTTCTTCACAGTAAAGGGCAAACAGAGGAGCGAACGCCTGCACCACTTTAAGTTTATATCTTATTTAGCTGGATGACTAGGATTGCTGGCCCTTCACAGACAATATGCAATTCTTGAATGTTTCTGGCAATGTTTTTGTGAACTAGAAGCCCTATGCCGCACTCTTTTATCGAAAAGCCCTCAGTAGCAGTGTGCCCATCAGTGCTGTATGTGCCTTTCCAGTTCTAATATCTCTAAGGTCAATTATATTCCACTCGAAGTTTTCCAAATCTTGAAATAACTCTACTAATCTAACTGCACTTGAGAAGGTACTTGTGTTCAACATTGTGCAGGACAGATAACCACAGGTCAGTTAGAGCTACAGTATAGATACCAAGGGATGAATGCCATAGGCAAGGATGGCAGTGGATCGATAAAGTCACAAAATTTGAAAGTTCACTCACATAAAGTGAAACCAGATCCCACAGAATAGGGTTAGTTGCATATTATTGGCAGAAGCCTTTGACCTAGCGTGCACATAAAATGATAACTCAAAAATTATGAATGGTGATGATTTGCTGGTATCTAAAGCTAATATGGAGGGATACAACAGGATGTATGAATTGTGTTAAAAAAAATGCCAGGCCTGCGCAGAAGACGGAGCACAGTCACAGCAAAAACTAGAAGAGCGGCCTTTCAAAACACTCATTGGGTAACTACTGCAAGCAAAGATGCATGATACCCACTAGGGTACTAATAATAAAATTTCTTGAGTAGTAAGTCGACATTCACTATGCTATTTTTCGTCATTTTTCTGAGAAGCGTGTATCTGCTAAACACTTGCAAAGAATTTTGAGCCCATTTTTCATGCAGTGGCTGAGTACGATGAGGAATAATAGCTGAAGTGGGTCTGTGCCACAGTTAATAGGGGAACAAGAACAAACTTTTGTAATTGGTTGTAGTATTGGATGACCCCCTCGTTACACTATTCGCATTATGCGGCGACTGGTTGTTCTT